TGTTTCTCTGTGACACATCTTGCCTCTTACCTGCATACCTCTTGTGTACCTTCATTAAATAATGAAGCTTAAGACCTGGTGTAGATAATTTCTTTGCCTCTGTACTTTCTCATAGCAATCTCAAATACATCTATGAATGGAATTACCTTTCATATGCCAGTTTTAGGTCTCTGTGCCAGACTTCTCTTCTGAATTACAGAACACAGATTCAGCTGCATACTCAACATATCCATTGGTACCTCCATGCTTGCTTGGTCCTTTACAAGAAGCAGTGGCCCCTTCATCTACATATGCAAGCCAGATCCTTTATCTCTGACATCTTCCCCTTACTCTCCATATTCATTCCTACTTCTTATGACCATCCTACATGTCTACACCATGTTCCTTCATTTTACTTCCTCTTAGAATGATGTTCCTTTATATAATTTATCTCAGCTTAACAAGATTGGTTCATTCAGTGTCACTGTTATTTTAGTATCTGTCTCGTGCCCTAATTCATATGTCCGAGGAGAGAGAGGCCTTTTTGTTCACCATTGTGTTCCCGGCACCTGGCAGAGTGTAGCCATACACTATTGTTGTATCAGTAGATGAATGATACTATGCATGTGTCTCTTTTACTCTCACACTGCATGCCATGTGCTCACTTCCCTCACTGCTCGATGAGCTCCTGGGGGCCAAGAGCTGTATCTTATTTACCCCAGGCCTGGTGCGATGTGGGCCCTCCATCATAGATCTGTTTTAATTCACTATGAAATAACATTGCCACAGTGTGTTCTCTTCAACGTCCAGGAAGAAATCAAGTGCCCTTGCCATCACCTAGTTGTGTTTCCCTAATGTCAGTTTGTTTTATATTTGTTGTTATTATGCCACGCCAGACCCTTATAAGGTAAGCAGCAAGACTTGATCCCTCAGTAATATTTCTTTTGAAATAGTAAACCTTCTCCAAGCCTCTGTGGAGTTATACTGAAGAGCCTGGGCCTAGGGATTCCATGCTCAGTTCTCTGTGAATATCTATAGGCATCATTTTGTGGTGGTTTACAGGCTCAATCATTTTCAGATAGGATTGGGGGTGATTATATCTCACATTACTACTATCTCTCACATTACTACTATCTGAAATGAGTTGTTGATGCCTGTAACACTAGGACAGTACCTTACCCCATAGTAGGCACTCATAGTTGTCAGATTAAATTATTTATCCATGATAGCAGTATTAGTTCTAAAACCATAATTCTTAAGACCCTGTGTATGACAAGCAGTCATTCACAAGCCCCTTCAAAGAAATGAGAAGTGCTGTTTGCTAGTTGTCACTTCATATAGTATATACTAAAGAATGCAGTAAAAGTGATAACCGGACCCCAGATTAATTGATAAATATGAACAAATGATCAAATTAGTAATGTAGATATGCTTCCTTATTTGATTTATATGTTACAGACACTAGTTTTACTTGGCAAGTTATTTTGTGTACTTGTCATTGGAAAGAAAAAATGACATTTGGAAATCCAAACTAGTGCTTGCCAGATTGCTCATACTGCTCTGAAGCTGTGGATATTCAAGCATTTTAGTTTAATCACAGACATTTAGTGATTCCAGCATTTGTGTCAGGGTCTGTGGCCTAATTCTATATGTATGTCTTACCCTTCTATAATAACTCCAGATTGTTACATTTTTTCTCCTTTCCTGCCCTCTCCATGCACACAGTACCCTACAGAGGCTTCCCTCATTAAAAATATGCAATAAATTTATTGATCACTGACCATGAAATAAGTGCCATGAAGCAGATACTACAAGTAGTTATATTTGTTGGGTGAAGAAACTGAGACACCAAGAAGTTAAGCATCAGTCTTACAACTAGCAAATGGCAGACCCAGAATTCAGATCCACCAGCCTGATTCCAGAATCTGTACTCTGTGTCTTACACTAACTCGAAACCCTGAAAACCTCTGGGCTTGAATATATTATGTAAATACATACCTTAAAAACCTCACTGCCCTCAAGTCGGTCCCAACTCACAGTGACCCGTCCTTGGGTTTCCGAGGCAGTATCTCTACGGAAGTGATATGTAATACTGAAAAAATACATGTTAAACTTTGTTTCTGTTAGAGATGATACTGCTCAGGGTAGGGATAGATGCATATATTGTTTACTTAAATTTTCAGTGATTTAAAAATATATCTCTAGACAGGCTTTGAAGCTGCTTAAGTGGTACCTGTAGTGTAACCAGTTGCTATGGAATCCACTCTGACTCATGGTGACCTCGTTGCGTCAGAGTAGAACTGTGCTCCGCTGGACTTCCAGTGGCTGATTTTACAGAAGTAGGTTGCCAGGACTTTGTTTTCAGGTGCCTCTGGGTAGACTTGAACCTGCAGCCTATTGATTACCAGCTCACTGCATTAAACAATTGCATCATCCAAGGACTGCATCTGTAATTATTAAAAAGCATAACAAAACAAAAAATCGTGTTGCTGTCAAGTTGAATCCGACTCCTGGCGACCCCATGTGTTACAGGGTAGAACTGCTCCATAGGGTTTTCTTGGCTGTCATCTTTAAGGAAGCAAATTGCCAGGACTTTCTTCTGTAGTGCTTCTGGGTGGGTTTGAAACTCCAATCTTTAGGCTTGTAGTCAAGTGCAAACTGTTTGCACCACCCAGGGACCTCTGCTCTGATGGCTATGTATCATTATTTGAGACAGTTCAACTAGTTGCTGCATTTAGTTCTGCTTCTGTGTCTCTGCCTTCTCCCCAGGAGGTTCACATCCTCCTGCAGCCTCCCATATCTCCACCTTAATCAAGGTTCACTTAGTGGAGTCATTTCCACTTACAGGGACAGCCACCAGTCTTGACCTAGGACTGTAGATAAGAACTTCTGGGTTTTTTTTGTTTTTTTTTTTAAATTGTGATTTAGGTTAAAGTGTACAGAGCAAATTAATCTTTCATACAGAAGTTCACATAGGCTTTGTCTCATGACATTGACTGCAATCTCACACAATGTAACTGCTCTCATCTCACTTCCTCCGTATAGCCACCTCTTCCTTGTGTCCTTCCCTCCATGCACTCCTGCCCCCCAAGCAGACCGCCCTTCTATTCTCCCATGATTGAGCTCTCCAAGGAGTATATCTACCTATTGTAAATGGTCAGCTCATGCCTGTCTTTTGTTTGAGTGGAACCCACAAGAGTGGGTTCAATTCTAGACCTGAAGGGCAGCTAGGAGCCATAGTCTCAGGGGTTCCACTGGGCTCTATCAGACCAGCAAACCTGGCCCCTTTATTATTATTATTATTTATTTTTAGGATTTTGAGTTTTGTTCCACATTGTTCCCCCTCTCTATCCAGGATGTCCTACAGAGATCCCTCTAGATGATAACTTGTTGGTAACATGTACCACAGTGGCCTACTGCTAGCAAGGTCTGTCTGATGCCCCTGGAGGGGGAGTCCATCCTGGATTATTGATATGACCACAGGCAGCAGACTTCTTTCTAAGTGGAGCTTTTTGATTGTGGAGTTTCTCGTATTCTTACTGCCGCCTTTTTTCTTCTCCTCCCTTTATTATAGAGAGAGGAAAAGTGTATAACTGGTATGCATTAGCATACGCTTTATAGATTTAGAGAGTAACACTAAATTTGGCTGGCCATGAGAAATTGTCATTTTAATGAGTGAACAGTTATTGGTAACTAATCTGAATTTCTGTCAAATTTCCCTGCCTTCTGCAGTATGCGTCCCTCAAGTGCCTTCCATGTGTCAGGAAAGGGCCCTCCATGTGAGGATAATGGCCCTGAGCAGGCCTCAGTCCAGGAGCTTATTGGTCAGTGAAGGGACACTCAAGTAGACAAACAATTGAAATAGAGAAATTAACCCACTTATCCTATTGGCTATGTGTTTGCTTCTTTTTCTCATGGTTTTTTTTTTTTTTTTTTTTCTGACTTTTTTTTTTAATACCTCATGGACATCTACTCCATGTTCCTAAGTTGTGCCAAAGAAAATTTAGAAATATGTGACTGGACAGTGAAATGTGAAGATGAATAAGACCAGACATGAATTACATTTAAGAATTTGCATGGCTTTCTTGAAAATAGAAAACATACTCTCTTTCATAGAATGTCTGGATGAAACTCTTTTTTCATTCACTCATATTGTAAATAGCTTAATAGTCTATTAATTCTGGCAAAAAGATTTTTTTTTTTCTTTATGTAATGAATCTTGTTTGATTATTCTAGGCTGGAAGCCAGGACACTCTAAACTCCATAGCACTGAAGTTTAACATCACGCCCAATAAATTAGTAGAACTGAATAAACTTTTCACTCATACCATTGTTCCGGGACAGGTAATTATTTTCTTGTTCAATATGACTTTAGAGATTCTGCATTTATTTACTTATTTTTTGCCATTTTAATGTCTCACTATTAATATCACAAGATTATCATTAATGATAGCATGTATTAGTTTAATCTTTTCTCTCCTCTATATCCAAGTATATTGAAAATTGAGCTATTCAGAGATGAATGCTTTGCAAGTGATTAATAGAAATTATGATAATGATTGCTACTTTGTGTAGTAGGTGTTTCCTAGGGCATCAAGAAGAATTTAAATTAATGTGGTTTTTTTTCCTGTCGAATGTAGAATGTTTAATTTAGAATTTTAAGTTTTAATTTAACCCACTCCTGGAATATATTGTGGTCATTGTTTATTTTAAATTATGCAGACTCTATCTTTTTTGTCTTGATTTGGTACTGTGGTACCAGGTTGAAAAAAGAGTGACCAACAAAAGACTACACACAATTTTTTTTCTAGGCTTTTAGTATTTTGTTAAACTAAATGAAATAGAATGTATAGATGATTTTGCCACTCTAGATTAATCCAGCAACCTTTTTTAGTACTTTCTATGTGATAAGACATTATTTTTTTCCCTTTTTAAAATTTTGTTGTTATTGAGAATATATATAACAAAGCATAGTTCAGCTGTTTCTATGTGTACAATTTAGTGACATTTATCAGATTCTTTGACTTGTGCCTCCATTCTCATTCTCCTGTTCTGAGTTATTCCTCTTTTATATCAACATAAACTCACTGCCCTATGAGGTTCTTATCTAACCTTTTAAGTTGGTGTTATTTTTTTAATTTCATATGGATAGTTCTTAATAGTGCATAATGCTTAAGGCAGACAGTTTCTTTTTCTTTTCTTTTGTTTTTTTAATTGTGATTTGGGTGAAGATTTACAGAGCAAATTCACTTTCCATACAGCAGTTCATGTATACTCTGTCTCATGTCACTGACCACAGTTTACTACAATGTAACAGCTCCCCTCCCACTTCCTCCCCATAGTTACCTCTTCCCAGTGTCCATCCCTCCATATACTCCTGTCCCCTGATCTGTCTCCCTGTGCATAAGCAGCCCTTCTTTCTCCCATGATTGTTCTCTTCAAGGAGTGTATCTACCTGAGGTAAATGTTCAACTCATATGCCTGTATTTTGTTTGGCTAGAAACCACAGGTGTGGGTTCAATTCCAGACCTG